TGGCCCCGCTGGGTCCCGGGGGCGTGGCGTGGCGTCCATGCAGACCTGCTCGCCGGGTTAGGGCTGCGCACCGGCGGCTAGCCAGCAGCACGTGCAGGCGGGCAGGCGGTTCTGTTGCCTTGTCCACTCAGATCCCGTCGTCGCCCTGCTGGCCCAGGACATCTTCAAGGAGCTGTCCCAGATCGAGGCCTGCCAGGGCCCCATGCAGACGCGGCTCATCCCCACGCTGGTCAGCATCCTGCAGGCGCCGGCCGACAAGCTCCCCGCGGGGCTGTGCGCGGTGAGCGGGCGCGGTGCGAGCACGCGGGGGCTGGGGGGCGGGGGGGTGAGCGGGTGTGAGACCCTCCCGCCCAGTCTGACCCGCCCCCTCCTCCAGACGGCCATCGACATCCTGACCACCGTGGTGCGCAGCTCGAAGCCGCCGCTCTCCCAGCTGCTCATCTGCCAGGCGTTCCCCGCCGTGGCGCAGTGCACGCTGCACACGGACGACAACGCCACCATGCAGGTACCGGGACGGGCGGCTGCCACGCCGGGTCTGAGCTGGGGCCGCCGTCGTGCAGCTGCGGGCGCCCTGTGTCTGCGGGGCTGCCCGGGGCTCGCCCCTGGGAGGGTCACAGACAGCGGGGCCCTGAGAGGGCTTTCCTGGGTGCTGCTGCTCTGAGGAGTCGGGGGGGTGGGCTTCGGGAGCCTCGGACGTGTGTCCCAGCACCAGGTGGCCCTTACGGCTGAACTCCGTTTGCTCGGCCACTGCCCCGTGAGGTCAGAGTGCGCGTCGGCGAGGGCCCAGTGGGCGGGGCGGGATGTGGTGTCTGTGCCGCGAGGGAGCGGCTGGCCCCGGAGGCCCAGCCCCCCGAGACGAGGTCCCGTCTGCGCAGACCCAGGGCGCCGGGTCCCGTCGCCGACCGCCGCCCTCCCCTGCCCTGCCCTGCCCTGCCCCAGAACGGCGGCGAGTGCCTGCGGGCCTACGTGTCGGTGGCGCTGGAGCAGGTGGCGCAGTGGCGGGACGAGCAGGGCCACGGCGGGCTGTGGTACGTGATGCAGGTGGTGAGCCAGCTGCTGGACCCCCGCACCTCCGAGTTCACCGCTGCCTTCGTGGGCCGCCTCGTCTCCACCCTCATCAGCAAGGCGGGCCGCGAGCTGGGCGAGAACCTGGACCAGATCCTGCGCGCCATCCTCAGCAAGATGCAGCAGGCGGAGACGCTGAGCGTCATGCAGGTGGGGGGCGCCGGGAGCGCCGGGGGACGCGGCCGTGGGGCCCGCAGGCTCCGCCCCGGCCCTGACGGCGCCTCCCTCTGCGCAGTCCCTGATCATGGTGTTCGCCCACCTGGTGCACACGCAGCTGGAGCCGCTGCTGGAGTTCCTGTGCAGCCTGCCCGGGCCCACCGGCAAGCCCGCCCTGGAGTTCGTGATGGCCGAGTGGACGAGCCGGCAGCACCTGTTCTACGGCCAGTACGAGGGCAAAGTCAGGTGAGCCCCCGGCGCGGCTGCCCGGGGCTCCCGGGGGGGGGGGGGCCTCTGCCGTCGCCCACCGGCCGGAGGCTGTTCCCCAAGCCTGCCCTGCCCTGGCTCTGCCCGGCACACACCCAGCACTCCTCCCAGCGGCCCTGGGCACACGCGTACACACACACACACACACACATACACGCACTCGCACATACGTGTGCGCACACACGTTCACACTCATGTGCACACGAGCTCTGCTTTCACGTCAGAGTCTCCGGCGAAATGCTCGTCTCTGTGGGTGACTCCGGGGGGGTGGCCCCCGGGGGGTGGCCCCCGGTGGTGGCTGAGGGCTGCCCGCGTGTGCCTGCAGCTCGGTGGCCCTGTGCAAGCTGCTCCAGCACGGCATCAACACGGACGACAGGCGGCTGCAGGACATCCGTGTGAAGGGCGAGGAGATCATCGGCGCGGACGAGGGCGTGCGCACCCGCTCCAAGGCGGCCAAGAGTGGGTGACGCGGGAGCCGGCCGTCCCGCGGGAGCCGGCCCGGGGCCGCCGAGCGCCCTGCAGCCGGCGTGGCCGGTCCGAGTCTGACCGGCCTTTCCCCGCAGACCCCGAGCGCTGGACCAACATCCCTCTGCTGGTCAAGATCCTGAAGCTGGTCATCAACGAGCTGTCCACCGTCATGGAGGCCAACGCTGCCCGCCAGGCCGCCCCCCCGGAGTGGGGCCGAGGTGCTCGCCGCCTCCGGGGCCCTGCGTCCGCCGGCCTCGCAGCTGTCCCCGAGCCCCGGCCCCGCCCCCCTCCCCGCCCGGCCCCCCTCCCCGCCCCGGCTCCCCTCCGGCCCTGCCCCTCTCCTGCCCCGGCCCCCCTCCTGCCCCTGCCCCCCTCCTGCCCCGGCCCCCCTCCTGCCCCGGCCCCCCTCCTGCCCCGGCCCCCCTCGTGCCCCTGCTCCCCCCGCCCCGGCCCCCCTCCCCGTGGCTGAGCTGCTTTCCCCTCCCCAGACGACTCCAATGACATGTGGGAGGATGAGGACCAGGAGGACCCGGAGGAGGAGGAAGAGGGTGGCGGCCTGGCGGGCCAGCTCCTGTCTGACATCCTCGCCACGAGCAAATACGGTGAGCGCCCGCCCGCCGGGGTGCCCGCCCGCCGGGGTGCCCGTGGGCGGCCCTGCCTGACGCCCCCCCCCCCGTGTGACAGAGGAGGACTACTACGAGGACGACGAGGAGGACGACCCCGACGCCCTCAAGGACCCGCTGTACCAGGTGGACCTGCAGGCCTACCTCACGGACTTCCTGTGCCAGTTCGCGCAGCAGCCCTGCTACGCCATGTTCTCCGGCCACCTCACCGACAGCGAGCGGCGGGTGCTGCAGGCCATCGGCCTCTAGGGGCGCCACTCCCGCTCTGGCTCCTGCCCCCGCTCCCCTCGGGGCCGGCCTCCGCCTGGCCACGGCCCGCGCCCCAGCCACCCAGCAGCGGGAGCCTGGCGGGGGAGGCGACCTCCTCGTGGTCACTCCGCGACGCTGGACCAGGACACGTCCCGCCCGGGAGAGCCGTCTGCCGCCGCCTCCCGCCTGCCGGTCCCGGAGCCCTCCCCGCCCGTCGGAGACACTGCCGCCAGGACGTGTTCACGGCGGCTGCCCCTCGGGGCCCGGAGCCCCGTCCGCGCCCCAAACAGTGTTCACGCCCCGGCCTGACGCGCCCGGAGAGGAGCTTCCGCCTCAGGACGCCGGGGTCCCGGGGGACGGGACGGGGGACGGCGCCGCCCGCACAGGCCTCCCCCGGGCACCGCCGCGGCCCGCCCAGCCGGCCGTGCACACGCACACACGTGCACCGTGCACATACATGCACACCCGCAGCCCGGCAGGTGGCTGTCGTTCCTCCTTTTCCCTCCTTTTTCCTTGGAGCCCGCCCGCCCGGTATTTAACTCCGCGCCGGGCTGCCTCCCTCAGGAACACAGCGGCCGCGGCCGTGGCAGCCATAGGGGCGGCGCGTATTTTTCTAGGAAGTAAAGGATCTTCACAGACCGACGTGTCCTCACCGCTGCCTGGTCCCTGCGCGGGGCCGGGGCCCGGGGGCGGGCGGGGCGGCCGGCAGCCTGAGGGAAGCTGGGTCTGGGGGGGGGGTCAGGCGAGGGGAGGCGACGTCGGGGGGCGGGGCTCCCTCCCATGGGCCCCCCCTCTGGGGCCTGTTTGTAGCAGCTGCACAGGAAGTGGATGGGGGGCGGGGCTTGGTCTGCATCTCCAGGGCAGCGCCTGCCACTCAGGTCCCTGGTGTCCAGCGGAGGGACGTTCAGGCCGCCTCTGCCTCCTGTCTTCCTCCCTGTGACGGTGGGAGGAGCCGCCAGAGGGCCGTGCGTGGCCAGAGGGACCCCGAGACCAAGAGCGGCCGCACGGGGAAGGGGCCTCGTCGGGGGGGGGAGGGGGGCTGTCCCACAGACACCGACACCCACAGGCCCCGGGGGCTGTGTCCCATGCCTCCTTCACGGCAGGTGCCCGAACTCTCCGCGGCGCCTCTGGGTCAGGAGGAGGGGAGAGCCGGCTCCTGTCCAGTGAGACTCCGCTGTCCAGAGGGGCGGGGCTGCTGGTTCGGAGTCTGATGGAGGAAGGACGGGGTGTGCCGGGCTCTCCCGGGGTTTGGGGAGCGGACAGAGACTAGGAGATGGAGGAGGACACAGGCTGGTCCCGGCCGCATGGCAAGTGCCATTCCCCAGGGGTGACTCGGGACCGGAGCCACGAGGCCACCAACCCCTGCTGAAGCTCCATGGGCCTCTCCCCAGTGCCGTCCCCGGCCGGGGGCCCCTTATCACTGTCCCCTCCCTGTCCCCGTGCCCCCCCTTTGGAAGGAGCAGGGCGCGACCCCTCCCAGATGCCTCCACTGTGGTCCAGGCCCCACGGCAGGAGCTGGCTGTGGCAGGGTCAGGGTCGGGGTCCGATAGGCCTGGGCAGCACTGCCGGGCCCTCCCACCGGCCCTGGACACTGGGGGGGGCGTGGCTTCAGGACCTGTGGTGAGGGCTTGGTCCGGGCTGGGGGCTGGCCCCAGGGGACGGTCCTGCCCTGCCCTGGCCCTGGCCAGGCACGCGGGTGCGGGGACGTCCTGAGGAGGTGCTGCCAGGAGACGGAGGCAGGGCCTGGGCAGCGCTGGTGTCCACATGCCCGCGGCGGGCGGGGCCCCCGGAGCGGCGGCTGGCAGGCCGGCCTGTGGAGGCACAGCTGGGCACAAAGCTGCTCTGAGCTGCCTCAGTGGGGCCTTGTTATGGGCGTGGGGGTGGGGGCTCCCAGCATCTGCCATTCCCCGGCGCCCTGGGCCGGACAGGCTGGGGAGGGTCAGGCCCTGCCCTCGGGGGTGGGCGGGCACAGGGTCAGGCTGCCCGGGCCGCCACCGAGGGGACAGGCGCAGGACCGGGCTGGGTGGGGCCGGGGGCGGGCCCTGGGCGTGTCACGGCTGCCGGCGGGCAGTCGCCACTACAGCCGTGCCTGGCAGGCGGGCAGTCGCCACTACAGCCGTGCCTGGCAGCGGGCAGCCCCAGCAGCTCCAGGACCCGCGCCCTCCTCCCACCATGCCCCTCCCGGCCGTCGCCCTCCTGCTGCTGGGGGCCCCCCTGGGTAAGGGGCAGGGAGCCAGGAGTGGGGTCCCCGGGCCCCTGGGTGCGGGCAGGGAGCAGGAGGGACAGGATGGAGTCTGGGTTGCTCGTGTTGCCGGCGTCGGTGGGCTGGGGGCCCCGTAGGTGGGGGTGAGTAGGGGGCACTGGGGCGGGCCACAGGGGAGTGGGGGCCACGGTGGGGAGTGGGGGCCACGGTGGGCAGTGGGGTCGCTGGGGCAGGGCCCCGGGGGACCAGCCTGGCAGCCCCCACGCCCCGCCCTCAGCGCTGGCCGGCACCGGCTGCCTGGGGTACCTGGACGAGGAGGACGCCTGGCACCCCGGCTTCAGCTGCCAGCCCTTCACCTTCTGCTGCGGGACCTGCCGCCACCGCTACTGCTGCCGCGACCTGAGCCTGCTCATCTCCGAGCTCCAGCAGAAGCGCTGCCTGGGTTTCAGGTGGGCGCCCCGCTCCGGCTCTCCTCCACAGCCGCCGGGGCCCGGCCCTCCTCCCTCCTCCCTCCCTCCTCCCTCCCTCCCACCGCCGCCTCCCCGCCGGCCGGCCCGGTGGAGGGAGCCCCGGTGGCCGGTGACTGAGCTGAGGGGGGAGTACACCTGCTCGCCAGCGGGTGTCTGGCCCGAGCTCCCCCATGAGATGGAGCTGAGCTCCTGAGTCCCCCCCGAGGGGCCGTCCCCGTCCCCCGTGCCCCTGCCGGCGGAGGGTCTGTCCCCCCGGACGGAGCCCCGTCGGGGTCCCCCGTGCCCCGGCCGGTGGAGGGTCTTTCCCCCCGGACGGAGCCCGTTGGGGTCCCCCGTGCCCCGGCCAGCGGAGGGTCTGTCCCCCCCGGATGGAGCCCGTCGGGGTCCCCCGTCCCCACTGAGAGCCGCGGTGAGAGGACCCGTTCTGCCTCCAGCCCCAAGTTCACGGCGGGCCTGGCCGCCGCCCTGACCCTCTTCCTGGCCGTGGTGGCCGCTGCGGCCGGCTGCTGCTTCTGCTCCTGGCGCTACCTGGCCCGCCGGCGCCGGCGGCTGCAGAGCCCCTTCCCAGGTACGGGCGGGCGGGCGGGCGGCCTGGGGCAGCTCTGTGCACACACCTGCGGCCACTGGGACCCGCACCCGTGTTTGTGCGGGTCTGAGCCCTGGGCGTTGGTGCCCATGGCTGATGGGCCTGCGAGGTCCATGTGGGAGGGGGGGGGCAGGTGGGGGCAGGCTGGGGGACTCACCTGGGCTCCCTCAGAAGGGGTGGCGGCGCCCCCTGGAGGCGGAGCTCTCACACTGACCTTGTGCCCCCCCCCCCAGGCCAGGAGATCCCAATGACAGGCGCCCTGGTGCAGCCGGCGTACCCGTACCCCCAGGACCCCAAGGCGGGCCCCGGCCCCCCGCCCCCGGGCTTCCTGTGCTCCCCCAGTGCTCCTCCCCAGCCTCCCCTCTACCCGGCAGGGCCCCCCGTCTACAGCCCTGCAGGTGAGCGAGCATCCGGTCCTTCCTCCCCCTGCCCCTCGCCTGCCCAGGACCTCCCTGTCCGTCCCCCGTGTCACCCCGGGCCCCTCCGATGCCCCAGGCCTCAGCTGAACCCGCCCCCTCCCCAGGCTGGCTCCTCCCCAATCCCACGCGCCCAGGGGTGGGGTCCCCTCACTGCTCCGGTGGCCAACGTCCTTTCTCCTCGGCTTCCAGCTCCGCCCCCTTACCTGCCACCGCAGCCCACCTACCCCGGAGCCTGAGGGAGCCTGAGGGACGCCCGCGGCTCTCCCAGGCCCCCCGTGTCTGCCTCCGGCCCTGGCGGTGCAGGGGCCACCCCCTCAGCGGGCCCCCAGCCAGCCAGCCCCCAGGCCTGCAGGGGAGCAGACAGGTCTGGCGGGAACTCGCCCGGAAGGAGGGCTGGTGAGGCTGGCACTGCTGCACCGTTTTCATTTCTCCTGGGGGCCCGGGGTGGGCTGCAGTGTGGTCCCCTCCTGCCCCTCCGCTCCCAGGCCCCCTGCTTGCCCCGAGGGCCGTGTGGGGCTCTGTCAGCCGCCTGTGGGAGCCGCTGGGCCGCCATTAAAGCTGAGAGGCAACTCACGTGGTCCATGCCCCTCACCGTCCGGCCCCACGCCCGAGAGGGCAGGAGGGGGCAGGGGCCGGGCCCAGCATCCCAACCCCCCCCCCCCCGCAGGCGGGCGCCCCGGCCAGGGCTGGCCCCACGGCCCTGGGTGGGGAGGTGCCCTCCTCACAGTGTCCTCCCCACCCCACCCGCCCGGCCCAGCCTGGGACCCCTCAGATGTGCGCTGCCCCTCCCTGCGGCCCCGAGGTCCACCTGGGCCCCCGAGTCCCGGCTCCGCTCACGGGCAGGGTGGTGTCCTGAGGGTGGGTGCTCCCTCTTCCGAGGGCCCAGGGCAGGGGCTGCAGGTGGCCATTGTGCCAGCCATTCCCCCGGTCCCTGCCACCCAGACAGTGGGGGGGAGAGGCTCCGGTCACACAGCCTGGGGCAGAGCCCGAGGCCAGGCCGAGGGGGGCACTGGGAGGGGAGCAGGGTCCCCCCCCCCCCCGGGCTTGGCATCTCCGGGGCCTCGGGGGACGTGAGGGCCTGGGCACAGAGATGGAGGGAGGTCACTTCACATGCGGCCAGGGGCCCGCGTCCTGGGCAGCGGGGCCTGCGGGCCAGGGGGGCGGGCAGGGGGCGGGCAGAGCCCAGCGCAGAGCGGCAGGGACCCAGGAGCGGAGCGTGGAGGGCGTCCCGGGGGCAGGAGGCCGCGGGCCCACCGGCTCCCTTTGAACCCGTTCCGGGGTGTCACCGGGGGAGGCCGCGGCCTGGCTTCCTGGGAGGATGACGTCACCAGGGAGCCTGGTGGGGGCCCGCCAGCAGGTGGTGCTGTGCTCCCGCTGCCCGGGCGCCGGGAGGGTGGCGTCACTGGGCCTGGCGGTGCCCGGAGCTGGAGGCAGTGGCCCAGGGAGGAGGCACGGGTTCTGCCTCCCCCGTTCCCCGCGGAGCGATGCTGGCCCCGCCACCAGCCTGGAGGGGGCGGGGGGCCTTGACCTGCAAAGTGCGGGCAGCGCTGGGATCCCCCTCGGAGCTGCGGCCCCGGCTCCGCCCGGTGCGCACAGGGCAGGCGGCCGGGAGGCGGACCCCGGCCTGGGGGACTGAGGGCGGAGCGGGCCTGGGCGGGGCTCTGTGCCCAGGGCCTGCCCTCCGTCCGGCGTGGCCACCCCTGGCAGAGACTCTGCACCCAGAGATGGGGGCACCGCTCTGCCCGCTGCCAGGGGGGCAGGAAAACCCACCAGCGGCGCCGACCCCGGCAGGGGTGCCCGCACGGCCCCGTCCAGCCGGGAGGCTGCCTGGTGGGCCCCATGGGGGCGGCAGGGCAGGGAGTGGGGTTGCCGTGGGAGCCGGCAGGGAGCCCGCAGTCGGGGTGGGGCTTAGGGGGGAGTCGGGGGTGATCACGCCTCACAGAGCCCTGGCCTGGCTCCCTCTGCCCGTCCCAGGCCCCGGGCCGCCCGCGCGGGCGCCGTCCCCACGCTGCCCTCGGCCGTGAACCTGTGCGGTGGGCAGGTCGGGGCAGCACGGCCGGGCCCTCGGGTGCAGGGTCCCCAGGGGCGGTGGGCAGGGCCCCGCACACACGGAGGCGGCTCGCCACGCGGCTACAGGCTCGTATATATTATCAAAGTCTCACGGAGACACAGCGCGTCACACGTAGCGAGTGGTGCAGGCAAACGTCTGCTTTGGCATCAAACCTCCGGGTCCGGCTGCCGCCTGGCCCTCCCTCCCTCCCTCCCTCCCCGGGCACTGTCCGTCTGTCCAGGCTCCGTCCACGCGGGCGGGGTGGCCGTCTCGTCCCCCTCCGTCCCTCTCCCTCCCCTCGTCTGCCTGCCCGGCCCGGCCCTGCCCTGCACACCAGCCCTGCCCTGCACACCAGCCCTGTTCTGCACACCAGTCCTGCCCTGCCCTGCCCCGCCCAGCCTTGCCCTGCCCAGCACACCAGCCCGGCGCCAGCCCAGGGCTCCTCAGAGCTGAATCCTGGCCCTGGGGGCGGGGCGGGGCGGGGCCGTGGTCCGTCACATCCTCCCGGCTCCCGCCCGCGTGCCATCTTCTCCGCGATGCGCCATCTTCTCCAAAGGACTCCGCTTGTCCGGAATCATCGCCCGTGGAGAGGAAGCGCCCGGATGAGAAGGCGTGGCCCGGCAGGCGGGACCGCAGCAGGCAGCTGGGGGGGCCTGGGGGGTGGTGCCCGCAGCCCCGTCCTACTGCAGCAGCTTGGGCACCTCCACCTGGAAGGACAAGGAGGGCGTGGAGGGAGCCGCTCCGGCCTCTGCCTGGGCGGGCCCCAGGGTGGGCCCCAGGGTGGGCACAGGAGGAGCTGGACCACCCCGTGCCCCCGGCTGCCCTTCCTCCTGCCGTCCAGGCCCCACCGACCCGGCCGCTGTGCCCGGGCCGCGGGCCGGAGGGTGGGCGCCCCTGCCCTGCACACACGGACTCCCAGGGGCCTCTGGGTGGGCGGGGTCAGGCTGGCCGCTCTGGGAGGAGGGGAGGCTGGGGGAGCCCCTAAAGGAAGGGCAGTTCCCCTGAGGGACAGCCGGGCCCCGGGAGGCAAGGCCCCCCAGCCAGGCCGGCCCGGGCGTCTGTGCCACTGCCGCCCATGGCCCCGGGGGACGATAGGGGACAGGGCCCAGAGGAAGGTGGGGGACAGGGCCCTGGGGGACGATGGGGGACGGCTCAGGGGAAGGTGGGGGACAGGGCCCAGAGGAAGGTGGGGACAGGGCCCCGGGGGAAGGTGGGGGACAGGGCCCAGGGGAAAGTGGGGGACAGGGCCCGGAGGAAGGTGGGGGACAGGGCCCGGGGGATGATGGGGGACAGGGCCCAGAGGAAGGTGGGGGACAGGGCCCAGAGGAAGGTGGGGGACCGGGCCCAGGGGAAGGTGGGGGACCGGGCCCAGGGGAAGGTGGGGGACCGGGCCCAGGGGAAGGTGGGGGACCGGGCCCAGGGGAAGGTGGGGGACAGGGCCCAGAGGAAGGTGGGGGACAGGGCCCCGGGGGACGATGGGGGATAGGGCTCAGGGGAAGGTAGGGGACAGGGCCCAGGGGAAGGTGGGGGACAGGGCCCGGGGGAAGGTGGGGGACAGGGCCCAGGGGAAAGTGGGGGACAGGGCCCGGAGGAAGGTGGGGGACAGGGCCCAGGGGAAGGTGGGGGACAGGGCCCAGAGGAAGCTGGGGGACCGGGCCCAGGGGAAGGTGGGGGACGGGGCCCAGAGGAAGGTAGGGGACAGGGCCCTGGGGGACGATGGGGGACCGGGCCCAGAGGAAGCTGGGGGACCGGGCCCAGGGGAAGGTGGGGGACAGGGCCCAGAGGAAGGTGGGGGACAGGGCCCAGGGGAAGGTGGGGTCCGGGCCCAGGGGAAGGTGGGGGACCGGGCCCAGAGGAAGGTGGGGGACGGGCGCCCCTCCCCACTCTCACGCACGCACGCACCTTCTTGAGCTGCTTGAGGTTGCTGGAGCGGATGGCGGCCAGCAGCTGGTCGCGGGAGTTCTTCTCCTGGGCGGGCAGGGCCCGGTCGCCCATCTTCCTCTGGGTGGCGGGCGAGAGCGAGTTGCGCAGGCTCTCCACCGCCAGGGGCGGGGCCAGCGGGGGCGCCAGGGGCGGCGGCGGGGGCGGCGGGGCGGCCGGGGCGCCCGCTCCCCGGGGCGAGTTCTTGGGCAGCGCGGGGGCCTTCGGCGGCGCCGTTGGCGGGGGCGCGGGGCCGGGCGAGGGGCCCTTGGCCGCGGGCGCCGCGCCCCCCACCTTGACCTTGGGCACCTCCAGCAGCTTCTTCTTCGTCTTCTCCTCCCCCGCCCCGGCCCCCGGGGCCCCCGCGGCCCCCGCGGCCCCCGCGGCCGCCGCCGCCGCCTCCTGCGCCCGCCGCTGCTCCTGCAGCCGCCGCTGCCGCTGGCGGTCCATGTTACGGCTGAGCAGGTGCGTGACGGTCATGCGGGGCCCGGCCAGCTCGAAGTGGTAGCCCAGCTTGAGCAGCGTGGTGTTGTCCTTGAGCAGAGCTGCCACCTCCATCTCGGTCTTGCCCCCGCAGATGTGGCGCTGGTTGTGGAAGCGCAGCTCGGTGAGCGTGGCGTTCTGCAGCAGCGCCCGGAAGATGGCCAGGATGCCCTTGCCCGTGATGTGGTTGGAGTCCAGGTTGAGGCTGGTGATGGCGCGGTTGGCCCGCAGCATGATGGCGATGGCGAAGGCCACGTGGTCGTCCGCCCGCGTGTTGGCCAGCGCGAACACCCGCACGGCCGTGTTGAACTCCAGCGCCTCGGCGAAGCGCACCAGCACCTCGGGCGTGATGCAGTCCGAGTTGTTGACGTTCACCTCCGTCATGGTGGGGTCGTTGCTCCGTACTCGCTCCAGGGCCTCGTCGAAGATGCTGGGGGCCGCCTCCTCGCCGCCGCCGCCGCCGCCGCCGCCGCCGCCGTCCGCCTCGGGGGGCTTGGCGGGGGGCGTCCCCGGGGCGGCCGCCGGCTTCCCCTCGGGCCTCGCGGGGGCCCTGGGGCCGGGGGGCGCCTCGCGGGCGGCCTTCTCCTCCTCCTCCTCCTTCTCCTCCTTCTCCTTCTCCTTCTCCTTCTCCTTCTCCTTCTCCTTCTCCTTCTCCTTCTCCTTCTCCTTCTCCTTCTCCTTCTTCTTCTCCTTCTTCTCCTCCTTCTTCTCCTTCTCCTCCTCCTCCTCCTTCTCCTTCTCCTTCTCCTTCTCCTTCTCCTCCTTCCTCGCCCGGCTCCCCGCCAGGCCCTCCTTCCCCGCGGCCTCCGAGCGCTCGCCTCTGCCCCGTCCCTTCCCGTCCTCGGGCTTCTCGCCCTTGTCTCTGCTCAGGCCCCTGCTCAGGCCGGCGCTCCTGGCCGCCCCCCGCGGCTCCCCCTCCTTCCTGGGGGCCTCGCCCTCAGCCCGCCTGCCGCCGCCGCCGCCGCCGCCGCCGCCCGCCTCCGTCTTGTCCACGGCGGCGCGGACGCGGCCCCGGCCAATGCCCCGGATGAGCTTCTCCTCGGGGGGCGGCGGGGCGGCCGCGGGGGCCGCGGCGGCGGCCGCGGGGGCGTCGTCCCTGGAGAAGGCCTTCTTGAGGACGCCCCGCCGGGGCCCCCGCCCCGCGTCCGAGTCCTGCCGGGGGCCCAGGCCCTTCCTGCCGGCGGCCGCCCCGCCGCGGCCGTTCTTGGCGTCCGCCTTGGTCTCCGCCGCCGCCGGCTTGCTCTCCTGAGAATTCAGAGAAGGAAGTAAATATTATAGGAGGCGCGCTGGCCGGCTCCGGGGGCAGAGGGGTGGCAGCGAGAGGGAGGGGGGGAGGGAGGGGGTGGTGCTGTGACCAGGGGGGACCGAGAGGCCCCCCTCAGGCCCCGAACCCGAGGGCTGAGACCCAGGGCCGCCCGCCCCCCTCCGGGCCTTTCCCGTCCGAGACGGGCCTGTGTCCAGCAGGGGGAGAGGGAGTTGCTAGCCGTGTGGGGACCGAGGCCAAAGGGCATGTCCCTCCCCTGGTCCGGTCTGTACGGACGGCGTTGAATTTGTGTTCGTCCAGGCTCTTGGCATTACTTTGATTTTGTGCGACTTCATAGAAATGTCTGGCATCCCGGTCACCAGCTTTCCCCCGCCCCCCCCCCCCCCCCACCGCCCCAGCATCTTGGGCTGCAGGCCAGGGCCTCACCTGGCTCCGCCTCCTGGGAGGTCACCTCCAGGGAGGTCAGCGGGCCTCAGACACGGGCCCTACAGCCAATACCTGTTCGACTCGGGGAGACCGGGGAAGGGGGGGCACGGAGGCAGCTGCCGACACCTCTGCAATCCGGGGCATCTGCGCCTGCCGCTGCCCCCCGGGCGTGCTCTCTGACAGCCCCCGCTGCCCACCCCCAGCCCCGCCTTTTGGTAGAAAGTTTGCCGAGGACCAGACCTGCCTGAGGGGCCCTGGGACCTGCTGTGACCCCGCTGTGACCTCCCAGGCCACTTTGGGGAGCACTGCCCCCCCCCCCCCCCCCCCGGCCACGTTGGAGGAGCTGGGAGGCAGGACCAAGGAGGGCAGACGGGAGAGCAAACTGACCAACCAGGACAGAGCTCGGAGCCGCTGGGCCTCGGGGCTGGCGAGGTGGGAGAGGAAGGACGGAGGAGGCCTGGCTGTGGGGGGCTTTCTGTCCTTGGGGGGTGGAGGGGAGATGGGATTGGGGGTGGGGAGGACTCCAGCACACACACACACACCCCAGCTGGATGGGGCGGACGGAGGCCGGCCTGGGGAACAGCCTGTACCCACAGCGCACACAGGCCGACGCCACCAGCGATTATTTAGCAGCGAGTCCTTGGCTCCGTCCCCGATCACCATGGAGGGGGGCCCGGGCCGGGCCTGGTGAGACAGGCCCTTGGAATGTGCTGGCCCTCCTGCCCGGCCGGCCCTTCTGCCCGGGGCGGGCGGCTTGGGGGACTTGCTGGCCCTGGCGCCCGTGGGGTGGGGGGCCCGACTCTCACCCTGAGCCCTGAGGCCGGCCTCTCGGGGTGGGAACAGCGGGAGGAAGGGAGGGAGGAGTGGAAACGCAGAGACCACACGAGGCACCGACGGGTCCCCTTCCGGCCAGAACACACCTGCGCCTGCCTGCAGCCTGCCCCTCGAACCCTCCCCCACCCCCCATTCAGGGGGTCCCTCCAGGGCCGCCGCCCTCTGTGTCCTGCGCTTCCTCCCCGTGGGGCCCCCCACAGGATCCCCACGCCGCCCCCAGGCCTCCCTCCGAGGAAACGGGGTCCTCGGAGACCACGTGACCGGCTTCGCCCACACGTTCCGGGGAGAACAGGCTCCAGACCTGTCTCCCCCGCAGAGCCCGGTCCCTGGGGCCTGCCCTGACCTCTGACCCTCCCAGCCTCCCTCCGGGCCGGGGTGCCCTGCCTGGGCCCCCTGGGTGCCCCCGCCCTGGGGGCCGCGTGTGGCTGGTGTCGGGGTGCTGAGCCAGCCCCCTGAGGGGAGCGAGTGGGAACAGGCTGATGAATCACAAACAGCCCGGCCGGGCCCGTGGCCTTAAAAGGAGACGGAGCCTTCAGCCACCGGGCTGGGCTGCCGGAGCGGCACGGAGAGGGAGCCGGGTGCACCGGGTGGCTCCCAGGTCATCCTCTGCCTGTGCTGCTCCAGCTGCAGTTAGAAATGACAGGCCTGGGCCGAGGGGGAGCTGTGGGGGGCGCTCGGAGGGCGTGCGGGACGGCCCCCCGAGAACCCCGACCCCCTGTGGCCACGGGGGCCTATCGCCCCGTCTCCAGGCCCCACGGCCACGTGGCGTGGCTCCATGTCCCCGGGGTGGGGTCCAAGGGGAGGGATGGACAGCGGCGCCCCTGCCTGGGCCTCCCGGCCACGCCTCTGCCCTCCGGGTTTGGGGGGCCGTGCCCGCTCTGGCACCTCGGGGCCCGGCGGCGGGCCTGTGACTCATCGGGGAGCGTTCACCAGGCCCCATTTTTGGAGAAACTGGGAAATCTCTGCAGAAACAAACAAGCCGCCTGGGCTCTGCCCCGGACACGCCGGCTCCAGCCCGTGAGGAGCCCGAGAGGCGGCCGCCGGCCCCCCACCTCGCCCTCGCCCCACTGGCCCCAGCTGTCCACGCGGCCCGGCCCCCACGGGGGGGGGCGGGGGCAGGAGGGGCAGGGGGGCTGCTGCACAGGTGACAGCGATGGAGACCGCTGGGCCTCCCATCCAGGGGGCCTCTGGGCCGGCCGTGGATGCCAGGACCGGGGTGGGGGTGTGTGAGGGGTTGGGAGACTCAGAGGCTGGAGGGGGAGGCTGCTGGGGGCTTCCCCACGCCCAGGCTGGAGTGATGGTCACGTAGGGAGGCCCCTGCCCCCCCTCAGGCTGTGCCTCTGTGGCCGGCTCCCAGGGGACACCCCTTTATCCGTGGGCGGAACCACCTCGTGGCTGCTGGCGGGGGGGGGGGGGGGGTCTGGGGCTCCCGGGGGTGGGGCGGGGCCTCTGGGGCCAGGAGAGGGCCCATCCCGGCTGCTCCTGGCTCCTCCCGGCTCCTCCTGGCTCCTCCTGGCACTGCGGTTTCCTGGGGAGCCCACGCTCTCCCCCAGACCAGGGACCCGGCACGTGGGTCCCCCCGTGGTCCGTGGCCACGACACTCTCAGGGTCACGGCGGGGGAGGGGACGGGGTCAGCCCGCGTGATCCCATCAGGCCCTGAGTCCCGGGCAGCTCTGTCTCCTCCCCTCAGGGCCCAGCCCCCGCACCGCCCCAGCCTCGCAGGGGGGCCCCCGTGGGAGGCCGCTCACCGCCCGCTGGGCCGGCTCCCTCCCCGGGGACGGGCGCCAGGGCCACGGCGAGGAGCCTGGGTCCGTGTTTACTGGGAACCGTGTAAATGCCCAAATATGGTCTCCGGCTGGGCCGGCCGCAGCCTGGCAGCCCGGAGGCGGAGGGGGCGCTGTCAGGGACGTGGGAAAGGGCGGGTTTCAGAAGGAGGAGCCGGCGTGATGGCGTGATGGTCCCGATGGGGGGGGGGGTAGCGGGGGGAAGAACCACACTCAGCACCATCGGAGGAGCCTAGCACCGGGGGTTGTCCTGCGCCTTTAAGGCCGGGATGCAGGGCCTTGACCCTTGGTGCGGGGTCCCCGGCCTCTGGGGGGGCAGGGACGGGCGGGAGGACGGGGTGCCCGGCCCGGCTGCTAAGGACCTGCCTCCTGGGCATCCAGACGGCCTGCTGTTGGCATCGGGGAGACCTGGGGGGTGGGAAGGCGGGCGACCTTGGGGCCAGCACTGAGGCGGAACCTGGCTGAGGCTGGTCTTGGGCTCTGCCCGCCGCTGTGCCCACCGCCCACTCCTGGGCACACGTCTGCCCGCACCAGGCGCGCCCGCCCGCTGGGCCCCCTCACACTGGCTCCTGAGGGCTCTGGCCCCCGCCGGCCCCCATAAGGCCTGGGCCGGCAGGGTCCGGTGGGAGCCGGGCGCTGGGCCTCGGACACGGGTGAGGCACTCCCAGGGCCGGGGCTGGGGGGCCGTGGCCGGGATCGGGGGAGCGGGTGAGTCAGCCTGGGAAGGCCAGGTCCCCGGGGAGGGGGGCGGGCGGGGCGGGCGGAGCGGGAAGAGGAGGGGAGGGAACACGGGAGGCGGCTGGGAGCCCTCTGTCCGGCACACACCGCACGCACTGGCCGCTGGCCACTGGGCGCTGGCCCAGAGCTCATGGCTGCTTGTCGGACGGACACGGTCCAGGCCCGGCTCTTCCTCCGGGAACACTGAGCCGTCCGTCCCCGGAGAGGGCGGCGGGCGCAGAGCTAGGTTCGCCTGGTGGGACCGGGGTGGCGCCCGCAGCCTAGCTTCCCACGCTCATTCCTGGGGTTCCTGAGCCGGGCACTGGGCTCCCGTGGGGCGAAGGGCGAGCCGGGCCTGCCCTCGGCGCCTGCAGGAGGCACAGAGGAAGCCGGACCCGCACTGAGTGTGCGGGGGAGGCTCGGGGGGCCCGGCCGGTGGCTCAGTGGTTGGAGCACCATCCTGGGCACCAAAAGGGCTGTGGGTGCCGTTCCCGGTCAGAGCGCTGCCTGGCGTGTGGGTCAGGGTCAGGGCAGCTGCTGCTCACAGTGATGTTTCTCTCCTTTCCCTTCTGTCTCTCTCTCTCTCTCTTTTTAAAAAATATATTTTATTGATTTTTCACAGAGAGGAAGGGAGAGGGGGAGAGAGCTAGAAACATCGATGAGAGAAACATCGACCAGCCGCCTCCTGCACGCCCCCCACTGGGGAGGTGCCCGCAACCCAGGTCCATGCCCTTGACCGGAATCGAACCCGGGGCCCTTCAGTTCGCAGGCCGACGCTCTATCCACGGAGCCACACCGGTTTCGGCTCCCTCCCTCTCCTTAAAAATCAATACACACACCCTCAGGTGAGGGTTGGAAACGAAGGGAGAGAGGGTGGGGGCGGGACACAGGGCGGCCCTTGGTGGGAGAGATGGGCGGGCAGGCGGGTGGACGGACAGACGGACGGACCAGCTGGGGGGGGGGGGTGGGCTGGCCTCCTTCTGCAGGACACAGCTGGGACAGAGAGGAGGACAGGAGGGCGGGGCCGAGAGGGATCCCAGGGGATGGTCTCCCTGAGCGTCAGGAGGTGTGTGTGTGGGGGGGGGGGGTGAAGGCAGGAGTCTGTGCCAGGCAGGGCCCGCGTGGAGGGCCGGACGGCCTGGTCGGCGTTAGCACCTGAGCTCAGGTTCCTCGGTGAAACCGGACGCGCGGCCGGCCGGCCGGCCGGCTGCGGGGTGAA